TCAGATAGGTTATTTTGGAACGGAGTTGTTTGTAAATATATGTTGTGGTGTTTCTGTGATTAGCTATGCGAGTTGGGTGGCCAGTGCATGTACAGCAAAGTGAGTTGTTCTGGCTTGATACTGTTTTTCAGTTATAGTTTACTTGTGCAGCGTTGCCATCTAAGACAGACCTTCTTTTATTTTAAACCCATAGAATAATTATTTTGAGCACCAGAAGGAACTTTACAGTGAAATACTTTCAGGTCCTGTGTAATACAAGTCAGCTGAGGAAACATGTAACTAGTAGTAGTACTGGACTATATAACTTACTTCAAACTTAAGTTAGGGACTTCTAAGACTTCAGGGAATCCAGGATATCCTGTAGTAAATTTTTTCAGTTAATTATTAATTAATCATGTCAAAAAAAAAAAAAAGGACAGGGAAATGGGACTATTTCTTAAAAAGAAGCACATGTCTAAGTGCTTTCCTGTATTGGAGCCAATTGCTGTAATTTGTGACTGATAACTAACTCAGGCCTCTATCTTACTACAAGTAGGGTGCTAAATGAATTACATCTGCAAAAGGATTCCTTCAATACTTTGTAGGGTACTGCTAAAAGATTTAGTATACTAAATCTACTGAGGCTATAAATAAAGGCAGCTCTGAACAATTTGAAATGTAACCCTTCTTACAGTCTCATCTATCTTAACATGCAGAGCCAGGACAATAACCTGCAATGCTACCATGCAAGCATTAGTAGCAGAATACCTTGGCTTTGTCAGGACTAAATTTAGGTGACTACTTAATAAGAAAGGGGAAAATCATGGCCTTGTTCCTGCAAAAACACTGCAAAAATAATGATTTTCCATAAAAAAGTCACAGTACTCAAAATGTTAATGTTCCTTGAGTTTATTTTTCACAAGGCACACTTTAAATAGCTTTCATTAAGAATTTAGAAGCATATAAAGATAGAAAATCTCTTGATGTGAGGAGAGAATCCCTTAGAACAGCAGAGCAAGCAATATCATGCCCAGCTGTCCTCCAGGAACATAAATAAGAAGCTAATTAAGCAAGTAGAGATGATGAATGTCAGGACACAAAGGGGAATGTTTCCTAGGTGGTGACTCAGAAATTTGGAAAAAGCACGTTCTCCCCGCTCCCCCCCACCTTTTTAAAATGTGGCCTATGTATTCGGATGATAAATACAGGTTTTGTTTTGTGGTTTGGTTGGGTTTTGTTTGATTTTTTTTTTTTTTTTTTTTTTTTAAAAATCCCAGGAAGATAAGAGTCGTCCTTTCATTGCATCCAGTCCCACCAATGGCTTGGAGTCAATTAAAGAAGGTTGGCTCTCCCAGAATCCTTATGATACCCATTATGGTGACACTCACTTCTATGACTACAGCAATGACTGCTGGAACTGGACAGTGTATCCTAAAACTCGTTTTGCTTCAGAATATGGGTTTCAATCCTGGCCTTCCTTCAGTACAATTGAAAAGGTAAGGCTGGACTTCCACACCCTACTGCCCCCTCTGCTCTCATGTAGTGAGGGCAATGAGTCTCTTCCCAACAAACTACAGCATCCAAACTGTAGCTGGGATAATATATTGTTAGTTGTGGTATGGCACAGGTGGGATAGAGGTACATGCTGCTGTGGAGGGAGGGGATGAAACCGGACTCTCTCCCTCCTCGGTGTTCAATAGATTTACCTTGAAGTTGTGAGAGGAACCAGGTTTGGATGAGAGACTATTATGAGATTATTAATTTTAATAGTAATTCTGTTTAATATATAGCTTAATAATGATTGCCTAACATCTGTTTCCTTTTGCTGTGTCTAAAGATACGTGTTCATTTAGAAACAGAAGAAACATGACAAATGCTAAATTGTGCTGTATTCTAAAATGTATTGATTTTTATCATTTTTACCTTTTTCTTAAATAATTTGTTTCTTTATGTATTGCATATAAGAGGGTTTGGTTTTGTCTCCTGTTAAATTTAGATATTGTATATTCTATTTATCCAATTGGAGCAGAGACATATCATGCTGTTTGTCCATTTGTTCAGAGAGAGATGAATATTGTGTTGATACTCATGCATGCAACTAAAAGGAGTTCAGAATGTTCCTTTCAATTTGCTGGGCAAAGTATATTATCTGAGACATAATCAGTACATTCATCCATATTAATAACAATGAAAATTATTCAATCCAGCCTAAAAAGGAACAAACTTAAATAAAAAGATTTTATAGAGATTGTAATTACCATGAAAGTTTGACAATAATAACTGTATGAGCTATGCTGCATTGTTGTCCTTAGTTGAAAAAAAAAATGTTTCATTATAATTTGTTTTTGGAGGCAAGTCTTGAAAATATACACATTATTAGAATTTATAGCCCTACTAACTCTGTAACTTTTGTGCCTAAATGTTTTTGACTGGAGTACATTCTTCCAACTTAATCCTGGATGTTTCTGACTTAGTATGAACGCAAGCAAACCTCTGAGGTCCCTTGGCCAAACTGAAACTTAGGAAAAATATGTGAAATGCCATTGAGCCAAAAGTAGCTCTTCTGGGTTCAACAGCAATGTCTGGTTTTCTGGTTTTGTTTATTTGTACAAGGAGCATAAGCAAAGGGTGTTACTGATTCAAAAACCTTGCGTGACTGCATGAGGCACTATAGAGATATACTACCAGTTTTAAAGGTTTTGGATTAAATCAGCAGGCTGTAATGGATATCCTTTCCTGAATATCCTGTCAGTCATAAAATGCAAATTTTTGCCTTTTTGTTCGTATCTCTTACTTTTGTGGGTTTTTTAAAAGGTTTCCTCCACTGAGGACTGGTCCTACTCAAGCAATTTTTCTCTCCATCGACAACACCATGAAAATGGCAATGATCAGATGCTTCAACAGATTGGGCATCATTTCAAGCTTCCCCAGAGCACAGATCCCATAAAGAATTTCAAAGATATGATTTACCTCACTCAGGTAATAGTGATGTCTTCAGTATAAGTAGCTGTCAATACTCATTCTGTTAGATACTGTCAGCAGTTAAAACCGGGCCTATTCTGTTAGGTAATGTTCAGTCATACAGAAAGCTTCTGCACTGACACATTGGGGAATCCAGTTTATTTTGGAACTAGCTCGTCTCTTGTTTGTTGGAGAGAGGCTCCAATTTTTATCATAGAAGGGCTGGAATACTTCTCGAGGAATTTCCCAGAAACTGGCTCAATTGGGAGAAAGTCTGGCTGCATGTGCTACCTTGTTCCCTGTCCCCAGCTGGGCCCACTCATGAAGCTGTCTGGGGATGCAGGGATGTGCTGGCCTTCCTTGGTATTTGATTATTCCTAGTGCTGCGCTGTTACTCCTTGTTCCAGGGTGGGTATGTTTTGCTCTTCATGTGGCCCCTGTAGGCTTACTGCTTTGATTTTTGCCCCAAGGAATGCATGAGCTTTTGAAACAAGATTGTTTCCAGAGAATGCAGTTCTCTATAATGAGACTATTAGTAGCTTTTATTTTGTTATGGACTCGGATATTGATATTTTAGAGAATCTATTTTGGTGGGTTTTTTTCAAATCAGTAGGTTATATTTTGCTCTTCATCCATAGTAGTTTACCTCGTGCTTGTTTCTTCATGGTTTTTATGTGACTTTTAAATTATATTAAGTAACTTTTTAGGGCTATTAGGAAAGTTTAAGGTGCTGCTACTTCTTGTGTTCCAAGAATTTCAGAAATGCTCTTGATGAGAATAACTGCACATTCACTAAGTTTTTGATGTTTGAGAGCTGCTGTCAGCAAGTTTGATATAAAAACAAAACAGCTGGAGAACTTTAGGCGCTGATGACAAGAGAACAAGGATAGATGATGCTGTGAAACTGGAAACAGGGGTAAAACTTGTGCAGTGTGGTCGTGACTCAAAAAGCTATGAGAGTTTTCTGCAGGGTTAAGTCTGCCAGGGCCTTATTAACAGGTTAAACAATTTAAGAATACCAAAATAAGGATAGCAGAAAGGATAAGGAGCGTAAACTTGGCTCTAGTGGTCAACTAGAAGTGTTGTCTTTACCTTCTGAGCTGTCCCAAAGAACAACAATTTCCTTTATTTTGAGACTTTCTTTTACTAGCTCCCCAGCCTAATAATATACTTTGTAAAGAAAATAACGGGCTTCTTGGCTTCTGTTGAGAACTTGGCCAATGAAAAATTCTGAAAAGTGTTTTTTAAAGACAAGATGGGGAAGGAGACAAGAAGTGGGAGTGCAGGGTGAAAAAAGGTTGCTCTTTTGGTGCACAGTTTTGACTGTATACCTGGAATGTGTGTTATATGTTCAGAGTATAGGGATCATGGTAATGCATTGTAATGGAGGTAGTGCAGCATAACGTTATTTTGCAACTCTTGGGGTTTCTTATTTGCATTAACTTTAACAAAAATTATTTTAAATTTATTTTTCTTTCCTTTGTCTTCCATTTACCTTTCAAAGACCCTGTTGCCCAGTGATCTTCACTGGATGGAAGACAGGAAGTAGCCCCTCCAGAGTTTCTCTAAAGATCCTGCTGGTAAAGCTGTTGGGAGCTGCTAGGAGTAGAACTCTCTGAAGCAGAGGCCCACTGCACTGTAGGTGCATACTCTTGAAGGCTCAAGTTTAAAGTTATGTGTTGTTGCTGTGAAGTGTGTGTTGTATGTCAATATATACACACGTGCTTTGAAAGTAGAGTAAAATATAAAATACAATACACCAATTTTTTTTTTCCTGTGTGTTTGTTGATGAAGGTGATGCAGGCTCAGTGTATAAAGACAGAAACTGAATTCTATCGTTTTAGTCAAAGTGAAATAATCAAGGGAGAAGGACACACAATGGGAGCTCTGTACTGGCAACTCAATGACATTTGGCAGGCACCTTCGTGGGCTTCCTTGGGTAAGTTTTGTGACAGTCTGGTAAAAAGCACCAACTATCAGCCTTGTTTCTGCTCTCTATCTTGGGCAACTTGGCAAACTTTCAACATGTTTCTGTCCATCCTTTAGAAATGCTTTCTAGAAAAGTGGTTTTCAGGATCACCCTAATAATCTGTGAAAGCAGAAGAGGGTAAAGAACAAAGCAGTTCTTTTCCTATGGAAGTTTTGCTGTTTAAGTTCAGATTTAGCAGCCACCAACTCTTACCCTTGTTTTAGCAAGGTATAGTTTAGAGAAGTTAAAATTGTATGTTAACTCCTAGTTTCTTAAAAATACATTTTTTTTGTTTAAGTGGTATTCTCTTTCCTTCCAAGGAAATAAAATAATATTATGGAAGCCAGACAAAACTGCCCATTAGGAAGCAGTGATGGTTAGACTGAGGGCACAAACCCCCTTGTGAAGTAAACTTTCAAGTACCCTTGCTTTTCTTATGTAGAGCTGGATCTTCCTGAAATTGTGTGTGATATCATCCCGGTTTTTCCAGAGAAATTTTGAATTTTTGGCAAGTTTAATTCTTCTAAAATTAGAAAGATCAATTCCTTCAAAATTGGAGACTTCTAAGAAATTCCTTTTCCAAAAGGGCCTGTCCTAGAAATCCCTGATTATATTTATTGGCTCAGCTGTGCAGATGCATGTATGTACCCAGCTACCCTGGTTGAGAATGGACAGAGAGGGAGCTAGTGGGATAGGAGGGTAAGAAGGAGCACCCATGTATGTTTATACTTTCCATGATCCCAACAAATTTGGTTGATTCCCTTCCCCCCACCCCCGATAAACTGAGCAAACCCTCTCCCTTCAGTAGGCAGTAGTGCACTGTCAAAAAAAGGATTTAGTGTGTAAAGGCTTGGTATCTAGGTTTCTTCTGTAGTCAGTTGGGGGAGAGATGGTTATCTCCAGAGTGTGGTTCATTGTGTCTTTAGCTGTCTAATAAGTGGGATGAATTATCTTCTCTGTGCTGAATTTTATTTTCATAGAACTTCATATGACACCTCTCACCCAGCATAGCTTCTGAGAAGAACTTTATAGGAGAAAATGACTAGCTGAGATTTGGTGTCTAACATAGTGTCAGGTGAGGTGAATCACTCTGTGACTAAATTATTCTGCTAGTATGCTATTTATGCACATGATATCTCTTTATATATTTTTTTATATATATTTTCCTTTTAGAATACAATGATGGAGTAATTGGACATAGAAAGGGATAAGTCAGGCAGTAAGCAATAGGGGAGGAATGTATGGTATGAGGGAAGTGGCTGTGTTTCATGTTCCGAACATTTTGTCCAGAAGTCATTTTGAAATGAAGAAGCAGTTCTATGACAGCTGTACAGGACTTGGGTAGATTCTCTTTCAATTTTAGTTATTTCACATGTGTTCTGTTTTTGAAAATCTTTATTTAAGAATTTCATGTCTGAAGAAATATGGGTGAACTAGAAGCAGCTAAGAGTGAAGTTCTTGATCTGTCCTTAGAACAAAATGCCATTTGGCCTTGCTTTAAAAAAAATTAGCTCACCCCATCCTCCCTCTTTCTCTGGGAGATGTTTGTCCCGCTTCCTTTTTCTGGTGGTTTTTATTTTTGTTGTTTTTTTTTTTTGGGGGGGGGGGGGGAGAGTTGTTGGTTTTTCTTTTTTGTTTTATTTCTTTATTCATCCAAGCAAAGTAATTGCAACCAACAAAGGAAAACAAATCAGTGGAAGAAACAGGCTGTTTCATTTAAATGTTAAGGCAGCGGTCCAACTATAATGCTCATCTTTCTGGACTTTCTAGACTTGCATTAGGAGACGGAATATCCCAATGTTAATTTTTATAATTCTAGCAGTGGCTCATGCTCTTAGGTTAGTGCCTCAAGAGAAGAAGATGCTTGGAAAAATGTCTCTTTGTAAAGACAGGTGTATTGATAGATGAAGTGATCGTGGAGACCATAAATGTCTTTTTAAGTAAAGAGCTGACGTCACTGTAGAAAATATATTGAATACTTGAATTATTCATATGTTGTTGAAGTTAGTTTACAGAAAAGAAGCTCAGCAGAGATACAGCTGTCCCTTTGTTTTGCTCTATTCCCTCAGTGGAATGAGGAAAGGTTTAATATTCATTTAATTAGGCAGTGTGGTAGAGGGATTTTTGAAATGCTAATGGCTGAAATTATGCAAAACTTCAGAGAAATTAGTTTTATTTGCACTTCAAAAACACATTTCTGCATCTTGTTAGATGGCACAGTAGTATCACCAATGAGTGCTTCTTATTTAAATCTGTTATTTCAGAGAGCCATGGGGGGGCTTACTTAATTTCCCCTACAAAGCGGAAGTATTTCCTCATGAAGTGGGGAAGGAAGAAGGTAGCAAATGTTTCTCATTTTAACTTACTTTTAAGATGTTTGCTTGGGATTGAATGAAAACACAGAACGGCACTCCTGTCATAGTACTTCTGCCTTCAGTTCAAAACTAAACAGCTTTTACCACAACTGGGTTTTGATTGTTAGCGCCTAGTTGTGGAGCCAGTTGTGCCATGTTGAATGCTTTAGCATCTACGCAGTGTGTTCATGTGTAGAGCACTGCCATACATGTGGCAGTTTGCCTCTCTCCCACACAAGTGTCACCTTGAAGTGCCCAACTTGGTTGTCATGAGATTCCCTTGAAGAGATAACTGGCTTTTATTGCAGGTTCAATATTTAGAGCCCCTGGTGAGCTGAAACCATAGGCTGTTACAGGGAATAATAGATCTGAATTCATGAGACTGAGGTGAGAAAAGAACTAGCAGCATGTTTCTCAGGTTGCATTTAATGGTGTGAAGTGATTAATTTAAAATCTGTTCCGGGGACAACTGTTTGTTCTCACTCCCGCTATCAGTGTGGAAGACTTCAGGGAAGAGTCAGAAAAAAGGGTACTGGGGTCTCATTACAAACCTAATTTTAGTTTCCCATTCTGAAGTTTGATACCACAGAGAGTGCAGACCCCATGTTATTATCAGGAAAAAAAATGGGGAACTTGGATTTCTTTAAGAGTTCATTTAAATGTGGGGGGAGGAGAGGAGAACCACCCCAAGGCTGTTTTAAATAACTTTTGACTGTTGCCTTTGGGCATGCACGTCTGTAACAGGGAAGTTTAAGCCCAGAGATTTCTCACCATAGCTACCTGATCTGCAGATTTCTTACATCCATTTTAGGGGCAGGGGGAGTATTTTATATGCAGCTTGCCTATTTTTAAATCAAGAAATGTGACTCTGGTCTTAAGAAAATCAAGACAACAGATGAGCTGAAGAATGTGGCTTTTTTAAATCAGTGAGCTTCAGTTTTCTGTGCTGTCTGGAGTTGCTTTGACAATTGTATTGTCAAGATCCTGTTACTGGAAAAGTTATCTTTGGAAGACCCTTCATGTGTGAAAATGCTCCAACAGTTGAGCTTTGGTTCATTAAAATGACTCTAGGTTTTTTGGAGAAGGGAAATATCAACTTTAAAAAGCTGATCTGAGGTAAGCAGGTTAGTGATGTTTTCAAACATCCCAAAATAATAGCTGTAGTAGTTGAAGCCTAGAATGAGTTTTGAAATGGTACAAACTTTTAAGTTTGTGGTTTGTTTGCTTTTATTTGTTGATTGGGTTTTTTTGGTTTTTCCCCCTTAGAAGTGTAATGACAAGTTTAGTCTGAGTTGTTTTCTCTGTTGGACGGGTTTCTTGAGGATCTCTGTATCTGCTGCCTCGGTAGCAAACCTTCTCTCTTTCCACTGCAATATGGTTATGTAATCCAGTTGCAAATCCAGGCACAGCAGAAATTGAGGGTAGGGCCCATTTGAAGAGAAACGGGATTTTATATTACACTAAGTACTAGAAACTGTTCTACTTCAATTGCATTATTCATTTTCATATTTAAGACAGTTGAAGCCTAGATTTTCATCATGTAAATTAAACTGAGGAAAAAATTCAAGCCAGCAGGCACTGAAACCTCAGCCCATGCTGGGTAACTTGTCTGAGCTCGTGGTGGCCTCTGAGGCCTGCAGTGAGCATCATCTATTGTACTGACAGTTGAAATTCCTGAGAGTCTTGTGGCAGTCCTGAGGGCTTCAGAGAGTTCAGCCCCTCCCAAAGCCTGAGGTTAGGCGCAGTGCCCGTTTCTCATACAAGGCCCATTGCTTTTATTTTTTAGATCAGATGCTGCCCCACAGTTTACTGTGTTTCAGATAATCCATCCCCAGTCCGAATCTCTCATCTTCTCAAGTTTCATGACCCTAAAAAGTAATTTGCTAGCACTCCCTGGTTTTGGTGGAATTGTCTTCTAGACCACCACCATTTTCTGCCAGAACATGGCTTTATTCATATACTGAACAGCACCACTATGCCAAGTATGTTCACCAGTTTATCAACAGTCTGTCTGTTTTGAAAGAAGCTCAGCAGCCTCTCCTGAAGTTTTCTTTCAGACTTCATCTCTGGGTTTTCCAGGCAGATGTTTTCTTGTCTGTTCTCCAAGCTGGTTGTGAGCTTGCTTGAAAACAAGGCGATGTGCAAGGCGCTAAGCTGGAGCTAATGCACTTTGCTCTCCACGAAGTTCATTCAGCAGTGCAGGCAGAGCATGTTCAGGTCTGCCTGTGAAAGCCACAAACACACCCTTTAAAGACTACATCACTCTGGATGAAATCCTTAATTATGAGGTGTTTGAAAGTGCTAAGAGCACCAAAACACAGAGAGATAATTAGTTACAACAGAAATGTACTACTGGAAATATTTTTCAGGATCCCTTGACTTTAAACCTGCTGTATAAATCAAAGCCAGAAACAAGAATGAAACTGGAATCTAGCTTTTCTTTCCTTATGAGATGATGCAGCTGAGTTGCTGCTTCTTTTTAGTGCTGTTTCAATGAGTAGATAATGGTTGAGCAAAGACAGAGTTAAAATGCTGACAGTGAAGCAGCATCTCTTTCAAAATGGTGTTGCATCTGGCAAAATTGCTTTTTTTTGGAGAGGACAAAACATTTGATGGCTTTTCCAGTTTGTTAATAGCAGATTTTCAAAGTATTAAAAGTAATGAGGTACAGCTTTCCATTAAAGATGCAAAGCAAACTGATTGGCATATGTCTACGTCGTGTATACTAACTCCCATGAAGTAAGTGCTGTCTCTAGGTCTTGGCAAATTCTTTTTGCCTAACTTACGAGTTGTCTTTGGTTTGAGAACTTTTTTTTTTCCTTTTTGTCTTTGTTGCTATCGATTTTCCTCTAAGCAAGAACTGAAAGAGGAGGACTGAAAAAGGGGAAGAGAGCACTTTGTATAAGCACCGAAAGTCAGACACTGTTGTCTCATTACAGTGGTGGTAGTTTGTGGCAATGCCAGCGTGTTTGTCTGGATTCTCAACAACAGAGATGCTCCATCTGCTTCCTTAATGTGTGGTACACTGGGTCAGTTTTGTTAATGTCGATTGTGTTTAAGGCTTTATTTAACTGAGTAACAGCATAGCAATGATAGGACCACCACTTAGAAAATGTGACCTTTTGATGAAGCTCAAAGAAAAGCTTGAAAGAGCATCAGATTCCTTCCAGAGCACAGCCTTGTCTGGAAGAAACAAGAGTAACTTCAGCCGTTCCCTGCACCTGACAGAGGTGAAAAGGAGTGGAGGGGGGATATTGTATTGCCATAGCAGGAGCAAGAGAGCACAGGAAAGGACTGTGTACCAAGGCAATCTTTGATTCAATCTGAATCTTTCTTCCTTTTAACCCTTTTCAGAGTATGGTGGCAAGTGGAAACTGCTCCATTATTTTGCCCAGAACTTCTTTGCACCACTGCTGCCTGTGGCCTATGAAGACAAAGGTGTGTTGTACATTTATGGTGTCTCAGATCTTCATGCGGACCACAAGCTGACTCTGAGGGTACGTGACACCTCTCTTGCCACTCTTGTGTCCCTCCCGCAAAAATGTGAGAAGCTGAAATGAGCACACCTTTGTACAGACAAGTTTCAGCAAGTCCATGCTCAAACAAAGTGAGGTGCAATTCTTATCTTTAATCTTCTTAGGGGCAACGCTATCCTTTATTATAGTAGTGTATACTGCTTCACAGAACAAGGAATTAATTGCATTGCTTATAGTCTATAGGTATAGGCCTGAAATTAACTGTTCTGTTGAAATCTTAAAGGGATTGATGGATGGTTAAATAGAACAAAGTGTGAAAAATGGTACCTCACTACTTAACAAAATTGTTGCCTGGTTGGTAGAACTAGGTTAACTGACGGGGAGGGGGGGAGGGAGGAGGGAAGATTGTAGCATTGCTTGCCAGTACTCAAACTCCACTGTTTTGGGAAAAAGAAATAGATTATTTTCTGAAATAGCAACAGAACATCTAGGTTTACTTTAATTGCAAGGTCACCTATGCAGTGTCACCATTTCACAGTTGATGCCTTAACTGTTTTCTGATAATGCTATAGAGACTGATTGGATTTCTTAGGCAGTTAGTTGGGTTGCTGAGTTGTCCTGTAGAACAGAGTCTTGCTTTTCAGTTTGTTATATTTTATTGCTGTTAATCATATGGCAACCAAAATGAATTTAGGGGCCATTTTGCACTACAAGATACAATTCTTGACATGTGAAAAGGCTGGGGAGAAATGCGCTCTCTAGATCTAGACACCTGGAATGACTCACTAATCATTTCGGAACTAGTAGTATGCATATGTTAATTCCTAGTTCACTGTCTGGTGGGCTGCTGTGAATTTTCAGATTTATAAGGTTACTCATATATAGTAATATATAGTATAGAAAATGGTTGCAATTTCTGGATAGTCAGTTCTTAGAGTAGGACTGCACTTCATTAAATTGTTTATTTCTCATCTGATTATTGTAACAGGCTTAAATTCAGATTTTCTGGTAATGTCAGAGAAGCATTGGCAGTAGGGTATTTCACACTTCAAGAAAATTTGGAAGTTAAAACTTTTGAAAGCAGTTGAGATCTGTTCCTGACTGCAGATGTCCATTAATGTCAAAAATAACCTAAAATATATGAAGAGAGAGAATGCTGTAATTCTCTTCAAGTGCCTAGCTTCCAAATTATGTGTGGTTGGTGGTTTGGGTTTGGTTTTTTGTTTGTTTGGTTTTTGGGGTTTTTTTATTTTTATTTAAGTTAAGGGTGCATTCATAGTGCATGCATGATCTCTGGTAATGTATATTTTACTGTATTAATATAACTTCCATAATCCCTTTTAAGATGATGCAGCTTGCTTCTGTTTAGCAGTGATTGTGCAGAAGCTCTAGATTACCCAGTTGGGTTACATCAGATAACTCTGAGCAATCTCAAGAAAATCCTTTGTGTGACCTTTTTTTTTTTTTTTTTTTTTAAATCAGGGAGGGGAGGAAAAAGAGTCAACAGATTAGTCACTTACTTAATTTCATTTCTCAGCACTCCCTTGGCAGGAATTGGCAATCCCCTCCTCTCAGGGAGCCTGGAGAAAACAAAAAGGCTTGCAGATCAAGAACAGCAATGGATCCAGACTGTTTGAAACTGACTCCTTGTGTTAGATTTATATAATGATCTAATTATTGTGCTGCATTGATTGTTTAAATCTTTGTGGAGTTTCTTGCTAGGTGGAAATCAGCTGGTACTATCAGGAGAACATCTCTTTGCAATGAGCAATCTGAAACCTAGGATGCTGGGTTGTCTTCACAGCTGTAACTTCTCTTCTAAGCTTTGTGCTCTCTCAACATGCTTGATAGGTCGTTGTACACGCCTGGAGTTCTTTGGAGCCCGTATGCACCCTTGCCAAAGACGGTGTGATTGTTAAAGCACAAAGTGCTGTCCCCATCTATACGGAGTCCATAAATGACTTGCTGGAAAGATGTAGAAATTGTACCAGGAAAAGCTGCGTTATTACTTTCAGTCTTGTGGGAGAAGGTGGGCTGCAGAGTCCTACGAACCATCACTTCCTTTCATCTCTAAAAGATGCTGTGGGATTACAAAAGACCCAGCTAAGTGTAAGCATCAGTCATGCTAAATTACTGTTTGGTTTTGCTAATCTTACTGGTTTGAGTTGTTTGCCTGCTATGCAGTGTCTGATTCCACTGAATGTTCTTTCTCCTTAGCTGTTGCAATTCTAGCTTCCGTGTTGAAGTTCAAAATCAGATTTTTTTTTTTTTTTCTGTGTCACTATATGCATATCTAAATAACACTGGTGGGGTTTGTGGCGTTGGTGTTTTGTGGGGTTTTTTGTTTGGGTTTTGTTTTAAGTAATGAAGTCTCTATTTTGCTTTGACTGTCTTTCACCTGACTGCTGCAGCTTTGCTTCTTTCATTCTTTTTGTCCCTAGACAGCAAATAGCATCATGCTAAGTGTTTTGTTTTGCAGACAGTACTGTATGTCAGTATTAGGTGATGCTAGTTTGGTTGCGTGTGGAGTGCATTATTGTCAGCAGTATTTCCTCTTGAAGTGCTCTAATTCTCAGTTTGCTGTACCATTGCTAACATGCGATATTGCATGCTCCTTTCCTCCTTCTGCCTGCCCTCCAGCTGAGGGTTCTGATTTGCATAATAGTGATTATTTCTTAATATCTGGCAAATGTGTCAGTCTTCTGAACAGGCACAAAAAGCATCTGTGTTGTATAACACCGTCATTTAGTCCATTTGCTGCTTTTCCCTTGATTTCTTCTGCTCCTGGTAAGCATGCTCTATAAATAGAGAGCAGGCATGCTCTGTGTGTGTATACGCACACATTCTGTTGAGTCTCACTTAGCATGTAAATTTTATTGCAAAATTCTTAATCAGCAGATTGGCAGGGTGAGGGCCTGTGTGTTCTCACATTTGACTTCCAAACTGCAGCTTTGCTCTTTAGAGCTAAACTAAACAAGGGGGGGAGTAGAGGTCTTTAATCTCTTTGAATCTGAACCAGCATAACTGCTTTACAAGAAGAAAATGGGCCAGATTTTCCCCTCTTATCTCTTTCACGGCAGCATGGCCTGCCTCCTGAGTATACAAAGGAAAGAAATCGGCCCGGTTTTATTTTTTTTTCAGCTGGTGGCACAATCTGGAGTCTGAGTCATGCTGGGTTTTTTTTGTGGATGACATCATCAATAATAAAAGCTCTGCAACTGGAGCATCGTTGGGGAATTTCACTCCTTTTTCCCATCGCTATGTTGTCTCTGCAGTACTAATAAGGATAGCTAGCAAGGATAAATGCAAAGTGGTTATTTTAAGAAAGTATTCAGCTGTGATTTAAAAAATTATTCTGTTCTGTGAGAAGCTGGAGCTTCTATACATAGCTACTAATGAACTAACTAGACTTTGCAATACATTGCTAATCCAAGTGCTACTCTTCGTAGCATTGCTTTTGAAAACATGAAGACTTTGGTGTTTTTTCAGAAACCAGAAAATGTAAAGGGTGTGTGCTTTTTCTTAACAATGAATAGTGCAGGCAGGATGTGATTTCTGCACTTAATTTGTCTCTGTTTTATATACTGTTAACTGGTATTTGAGAATGATGTAGTGATGGTGAAAATGATTTCATGATGGTGAATGTGGAGTGCCACATCAAAATGCGTCCTGGTTGTGCTTTGAAGCCTCTCTGAGATTAACTACTGATAGAACTTAATATGAAACATTATACCTTGTCCTGATATTTCACAGTACAGCTGCCTTCTAAGTGTAGGGTAAGGACTTCACTGCCATGTTCCATTTAGATGAGGTGTCCTCCTGTGTAACTGTGATTTTTTTCGATCTTTTGCTCCTGTTTGTTTCTATTGCTGATGTAATCGGAAAGGACAGCTACTTCAGTTGTAGGTTGAGGGAAGTGAGTTGGTGAAAGGACAAATCTCTTTCACTGCAGTAAGTAAAGGATACCCCATTTATTTGGTTATTTTCATAGGAAGATGGCTGAGTAGTAACACCTCATGGCATTTTTCCACAATCTGTAGTATTCTGTAGGAAGGCTATAATAACACTTGCCGTTTTTGCATGATTCTTGCATATGAATCCTGCTGATCTGACCTTTTGTTCCAGAAGAGATTTCCATAAGAGAAGAGTAATTTTGATCAGATGTGGTTGTTCAGCCTGTTTTACTGACATGCAGGTCTTTCCCAGTTTGAGTGTAACTGGGTTCTCGTTTAACATGTATATTTTCATTTATTTATTTATTTATTTCTCTTCCAGGCCTCTGTATCCCAACAAGATGACGTTTATGTCTTTGTTCTTCAGACCACTGCAATTGCTCCTTTTGTTTCTCTGGATGTAGGGAGTATTAAAGGGAGATTTAGCGATAATGGTTTCCTCATGACCAAAAAGAACAAAGTGGTTGTGTTTTATCCTTGGGAACCTACCAGTGTTGAAGAACTAGAAAAGTCACTAACCTTGACCTCTCTGGTGGACGTTGCCTGAGGATACTTCGTTTCCTTCTAGATAAGGAGTGAAACAGAAAGAGGAAAAAATTAGAAGAATTTGAATAAAGTTGAAGTGACGTGCAATTTGAGCTGACTGGAGAACGTACTGTCTATTCCTGTTGTGTGAATTTTAACTGCTGGTTCAATGTAAAGATACCAACAGCAAAGCTTGCGTATAATATATGTGGTGCATTAAAAGTAAGGCTTTCTCAGGTAATGGGAAAAATATATCCTGTGTATAAAATTGGAGGGGTGAGTTGGTGCAAGAGGGCTAGTCTGAGCTGTCCAGTTCACATGAGATGAGTTACTGGGTTGTGAATTCTTCCCAATTAAGGGGCAACAGAAATATGCACCTTCAGACTATGGTTGTAAAAATAAGTTTGGGGTGTTTTTCCTTCCAGTTTCACTATGGTGTAAGTGGAAATTTAGGATAATGGCAAGGGGTGTTGGGGGCAAGGGGGAAGGGTAGGGAGTGAAGCTGGGACCACCTCCACAGGTATGCCCCTGCTGAGAGTGGTTTGGTCTATCTACAGCCCAATCGGGAGAGCCCTAATCCTCCCCTTTCAGACCTATGCCTGTAGCTCCGTCAGGTGTCCTGCTTGCCTCCTGCAAGGCTGGCTTCCAAACAGATGTGACACTTGGGCTGTCTAGTTGGACATCGGGTAGATCTGTTCCCCCTTCTGAAAGGGGAATTGAGTATGAGACTTTTTATTCTTCTCTCTTCTCGTGCAACACTGAGCAATAACCTTGAGAGCTCTGCACCTAGTTTTGCCTCTTTCCAGAGGGCTGCAGGTACAGGGGCAAACCTGCTGCTGCTCCATGGGATCCTGCATAATGTGGTATAGTATGAGAGATACCTGGCTGTGGGAAAAGGAATGGGGAGAAGAGTTGACCAAAGGTGCAGAGAGAAAGGAGGCAGTACAGAGAAGAAATGGTCATGAGAGGACCACAGAGTTACAAGTCACTGCTTTCTCTCTAGTAGATGCATAGTGCAGCAGCCGCTGTTCTCCCTCGGACATTGCTGTGCAGCTGTGCTGTTACCGCCTGGCATTCTTCATGAGCGGCCCTGTGCTCCACACTGTTCTTCCTCCTTCCAGAGGAGGAGTTGGCTTAGCTTTGTTTATCAAGCAAATTGTGTCATAATTAGGTGGGAATGTGTGACCTTTAAAATACGAACATCAACAAAGGGAAACCTCAACATCTTAATTTTGCTTCTTTGTGTCTGGGTTCCCCATAGAAGACACTGTTGTCTCGCAATTAGATCTGGTGGCACACTGAACTCTGTAGTGCATACAAAGTAATGGTGCTTCACCTTCTATTCTGTTTCCAAGTAAGTTGTTTTTAAAATGGTTGGGTTTCCCATAGAAATGTCATCTCACTTTGGCATTTCATACAAAGAAAATAAGCTTGCTTCAGCATGGTGGGTGCTGTAACCTGTGGAGCTGAAAGCAGAATTAGCACTTTACAGTAGAAGGCATTTGAACAAGTCCTATTGGTGATGTCCACCTTTGTAGTTAAAGCACCATGTGGGTGATGCTTGCTGGTGGTGCTGGGGGTCTGGAGCACGTAGGGGGAGAGTGGCTGTCTGTTCCCTTGGTCAGTTAGAGTACTTGGAATGGGGGGTTGTTTTCTTGCAGTGATTGCAGTTTCAATGGGCAAAGAGATGAGTGTATGGGCTGATGCTTGGCAATCTCTGGTGCTTTTTGAATAGGGCATTAACCAAAATTGACATACTCCTGAGCAAGAGGGAAAATTTAAAGATGAAAGGGAAACGATAAATGGGAATCACTTACAAATGCCAAAACAACTAACTGCAGTTGCATAGGAGGGGGCTTTTCTGATTCAAAACTTCTGTCCTAGTTGAAAGAAAACATGAAAGCGATCAAAATATGTATGTGTATGTGCCAATGTTTACAGGCTATATAAAATAAATAGGGAAAATTATAGTCATGAATAAAACTTAACAATTAGAAAATGCAGATGTTGATAAAGGAATTTAAAAGTTATCTGAGAGGCATCCTGGGCCAACAATACAAGAAAAATCCTTCAGTTTTTCCAGTGTCCTGGAATAAAAGCAGCAACAGAGTCAATATAAGGTAAGGATGAAAAAATGTGGAGAAAATATGGAATAAATAAGATTAATAAATATTGCTGTAGTGTATCAGAAAAAGGGCAGGTTGGTTGATGTCTTTCTCTTACACTGATGTAGAAGTGTCTCTTCCAGCAACATCTAGATAGAATTTCAAAATGGCATGTAATAGTGTTAAATAAGTAAAACTTCTGACAGACTGACTTGTTGCAAAGACAATCAAGGGGACTATCAGGAGGTCAATACATGTTCTTAGCACATCTCTGAATATGAATGAAGTTTCAGAGATGTACAAAAGAGCTTTTTAGATTGCTAGAAGCCATAACCCATGAATTTGGATAACTGTGACCTTGCTTAGCCCATCACAAATTTTAAGCAAAATCATGAAAGAAATGATGTGGTACATGATCAATAACTGATGCAGTGGCTATGCAGCTAACGCCTGTCAGCACTGTCTTGCAGAAGGGCATTCTTTTGTACAATGTAGTTGGGTTTTTATTCTGGGGTTTTGGGTTGTTTTTCTGGTTTTTTTTTGTTTGTTTTTTTTTGTTTGTTTTGTTTTGGTTTTTTGTTGCTTTCTGCAGTTACTAGATTGGCATTAAAAGGTTCAGACAATTTTTAAATTAGTTATTTTTGAAGGTCAAAAGCTCCCTAAAGAGTGGGTCCATTCTTTCTTACTGGAAAGCTTTAATTCAGCACTAGGTGCTGTTAAGAAAGATTAGCAATTGTTTAAGCCAAATGCTTGAGCTCAAAACAGAATTTAATGGGGGAGGTTCACTTCCATAATTGTCTTAATATCCTTAATATGTTCTTTTGGTTTCCTGGTGTTGTATAGATATGTATTTATAGATGCTATTTTCTGCTCTCCCCCGTGCAGCAGTGGCTGTAACACGTACCTTTGGTTAACCATTTCCCCACAGTACTTTTGCCGTGGCATACTGTGCTATACTTTGTTACATTGTTCTGCCTTTGTCTCAGATCAGGGCAAAGATAGGAATGCAACAGTGATCTTCAGAGCATCCATTGCTCCTGTCCACATGTCCAGCTGTAGCCATCTGAGTGGCCTTGCAGTACTTGGCAGCACCTGGGTTGCCAGTTGCGTCTGATGGGCTGGGGATCGGCAGCAGGAGCATTTGGTAAGTGCTTGTCCTCAGTGTCATTAAAATATTGGTGGCAAGAGTAGAGGGGAGTGACCTCATTGGTATTGTTTCAGGGTATGGCCTTACAATGTTTTGTTCAAGGGATCACTGGTTTTGCTTGTGCTGATGGCCTTCATTTGCTTCTGGGCTGTCCTCCACAGATGGCAAAAGCAGCAGTCAGAGCTCCCCTCAGCAGGAGCCACGACAAAATGCCCTTCCAGAACAGACCTTGAGAGCAGGTTTTGAAAGAAAGCTGTATGGCATTGGCTAATTCGTTGTCCTAAAACTGGCCTCTGGCAGAGATTTGGCTCTGAACCCATTCAGGACCTGCAGAGACCATTTTAAGCTTGAGAGGGCCCCTTTTTGCTGGTACTTTCTGCCACACAAGGAAGACTTATTTTGCTCCAGTTTACTAGAGTGCTTCCTTGGAAGCTTTTCCAAGTTTTGCATCTTTGCAAAAAAAGGTGTCTTTTGCAAAGAGGTGTCTTTGGTCTAGGCCACTACAGCAAAGGAAACATGCTGCAGCATGAAGGGGAACACACCTGAGTCAGGAGGAAGGTGCGGAGGCTGGTTGCTTGCCAGAGCCTGTTCCTGGGGGTCTGCTTTTGGCAGTTGATCATGAGATTGCACTCACGGAGCCCACCACGCCAAGCG